GAAACATACAACTTTAAATGAAACGGTATATACTCACCCTTAATGAGAATAATAACACATCATATACCATGAAACACTGGTTGTAAGGGCGATGACTTCAATCCGGCCACATTTGTTGGGTAGAACACCGTACTTATTTCAAGGTATTTGCACATTTCATTAAATCATTTTCAGCGCACCCACGGAGCTTCTAATTCAGCCAGATATGGAAACCCCACGTACGGGTTAGCCAGGATAACGGTTCATGCTAAGGGTTTTCCAACTGTCACTTCATAACAACCGCAACCTTACTAAACGGTTCAGTCACACACAAGTAAATCTTCATGAAACTTCATGTGAACCGCCATCCGTTTATCGGTCCTTTCTTTGTTAAATTGGCTGAGCATTTTCTCTATCAATAAACAATTATCATAAACCTGACTGTATCCTGTTGATTGTTATTGTAATATAATATTCATACTACTATCAACACACCTGTCTTCCCACTATCAACTTGTACTTTTACCTATTATGCTTGGTGACGTATTCTATTTCATTGTGATCAATGACTCAAATAGCCTTGATTGGTCTAACATTTTCGTATAAATATTCATGTATATTAGAGTAAATCCTGATAACGATCTAATTGAAAACAATTGTTCGCTTACATGTGTTTTAATTTTCACGATGGGTATCTTTAGTATTCTGAGATGACAAAACTGGTGAAAACTTTGGAAAACCAAAAACCAGAAAATGAGTTTACTTTCGACTCAAAACGGTACGTGCATAATTTTTTCAATATCAAAATAGATGCAATACGGCTAGAAGCTTTATCTCTGGGGCCTAAATTCTTTGGTAGTGAACATAGAATCGACCAATTAGATACTGACGTACAGTTTGAGAATTTATTTTCTCAAACTGACATGATTCCTACCTAATTACAGGATCTCGCTAGGTTTAAGACCACTTTAGTTGGTTGCTGCCAACAACACAAGAATAGTAAGGGCACCACTAACCACCTACCAACCAAGCAGCACCGTGAATCTTTAATGAGACTAAGAACGGAGGAAACCTTGATCAAAACCAAACCTGATAGGGGAAGAGGTATAGTTATGATGAACAAAAAGGATAACACTGAAAAAATGGAAGCAATGCTTAGTGATACTAGCAAATTTCAAAAAGCTACCAGTAACTATGATATCAATAAAAAAGTTGAAAAACAATTGGTAAATTCTCTTAAAGATCTGAAGAAAAAGGGAATTATTACGTCAGATATTCATGATTTCATAAAGTCGACTGGATTTTATATAGCACGACTGTACGGTTTGCTTAAAGTTCATAAACCAGGTCTTCCGGATATGTACAATTCTCCCTACTACAAAATTGTAAATTGGCTGGTGCGAATCCTAGAGCCTTTGCACAAATCAGTTGTTAGAATGAGTGTAAAAGATGCTTTCGAATTCACTTCCAAAGTGGAAAATACGAATGTTAGTATGAAAAATATGTTATCACTGAATGTACTATCTTTGTTTACCAACGTACCACTTTTCGAAACTATTGAGTTTATATGCGAGCAAATATCAGAAAAGCAAATCAACATTGGATGCCTGTAGATTGTTGAAGGAATTTCCCTTAAGTTGTACGACGAATGTCCATTTTGTCTCCAACAATTCTTATTATAGACAAATAGACGGAATAGCCATGGGGTCACCTCTAGGCCCGATTCTAGCCGATCTCTTCCTTGCAAAGATAGAAAATGGATCAGTTAGTGAGGCCATTAGGAAGCTCGATCTATACTGCTGCTACATCGACGATACATTCATTGTCGTAGATCAGAACACCAGTAAGGATAAACTACTAGAACAGTTCAACAGTGTACACCCAGCGGTTAGTTTCACTGTTGAGGGCGAGTGTGACAATAAGCTGAATTTCCTTGACGTCACAACAAGCAGGCGAAGTGATGGCTCGTTAAGTAGAAGTGTGTTAAGAAAAGGTCACTCAGCCTGCCAATATACTCACTTCTATAGCTGTACACCTACTCAATATAAGAGAAATTTGGTTAGATGCCTCATTAGTAAAGATCTGTTAGGTAGATACTTTAAGTCAGGAGTTGGAATTTATCAATAACTCACTGAAAGAGATCGACTACCCCAGTGCGTTCATTTAAAGGTTCATGTCTGATACAAGGAAAAAGTCTGAGATTTCAACTGTTCGAAAGAAACCTTTATACATGAAATTAAAATTCAACGGGGATGTAGCTAGTGATACTCTGAAAGATAGGTTAAGGAAAGTTATTAGTAGGACATTCTACGCAGCCTATCTTGCATTGACTTTCTCGAGTCGACCAGTGATGTGTACTCAAACGAAGGATAAGTTACATAAGTTGGCCTCCTCTATGTGCATTTATAAGTTCAGCTGCTCCTGTGGAGATAGCTATATCGGGCGTACTACTAGGCAACTTAACCAACGAATAAGTGAACATCTACCAGCATGGTTTGGGAAGGGCCAAATAAAAACAATAAACAGTTCTATCTTGGCACATCTAATTGATAGTGGTCATATTGTAGTTAAATTGAAATCATTTCAAGTGATCTATCGTATACCTCCATCATTTCCCAACGGAGTTCGTTCCCGTCTCTTCCATATAGCAGAAGTCATAGGAATTTGTACATTCCACCCCAATTTGTGTACGGAAGAAATTCGTAACCCCCCTATCCCTTCCATGGCCGGATATAATTTAACAAATGACATTATTACTATTTTTTTTAATTCCATTTTTGATTTTGTTATCATTAGCGTTATTTTCACATCCGTCATTTATTTGTAATTTTCCGCCTCTTTCCGTTTGTATTCTTCACTATCTAATTATTTACACATTTCTTATTACGTAATCATTTTAATGTTTTGTGATGACTATTCTAAGTCTATTCACCCACGTTGGACCTCTTATTTCTTATGTTTCACTATTGATAAGACTTTTGTTATCGTAATTTAATATTCTTACTACTATCAATACACCTGTCTTCCCACTATCAACTTGTACTTTTACCTATTATGCTTGGTGACGTATTCTATTTCATTGTGATCAATGACTCAAATAGCCTTGATTGGTCTAACATTTTCGTATAAATATTCATGTATATTAGAGTAAATCCTGATAACGATCTAATTGAAAACAATTGTTCGCTTACATGTGTTTTAATTTTCACAATGGGAATCTTTGATATTCTAAAATGGTGTTTATCTGCAGCCAGAGACATATATTGTGTTGGTTGGTCGATTTCAATTAATATCGAAAAAAGTATTCGGTTATATATGAAACTTTTTATACAGTTTACTACAGTAACGTTTATTTTTGTACGTATTTTGTCCATCGACTACTGTTTAGTCCTGGTGTTTTTTACTTCACCAGTCGACCATCAACCAAAACTGAGTAGCAGTTTCTCTTGACAGTTAACGTGTGACCTCGAAATGAGTCTTTTGAACACATTCAATATAAGGAATTAAAGAAGACAAATGCAGTGAAGCATACAGAAGTCTGAGTGAAATGGTTTCAGATTATAAAACTAAGAATTTCATTACATTCATTACATTGTGCTAACTGACGGAGCATATGGAAATACTAAACTTGTGAAGCTACAGATGTGTTTAGTATGAAAAATAGTGCCCATTCTCTCTATAGGGTATAGGGTACTATCTGAACACTATAACTTTACTGTTTTTTCATATGGTCGCCATTGCCTTTCGGGATTGCAGGTGAGTTAAAAGATAACGTGTGGCGTGCGGTTTCTCGACAAATTATAGGTGTCTCAACACAGCTTTGACAGTAATAATCTAGTCCATTCATGTTACCACCCATATTCGAGCACCCAATAGCTTCTTAGACTTCAGAAAACTTGGGAGGTCTTCATTGGTAAAAAAAGTCAAGTTTGTCGTTTTCAAATCACTGTACTTGTGAGAAGCTAAATTGTCAACACTACAGAAAGCTGAGAACAATAGTGTACAACTTGTCGTTTCTATTCGGCTCCTTCGTAAATTTGTCCATTCTTAGCAACTTACTTACTCACTTACGCCTCTTACCCCTCTTGCAAGATCACAGGCCACCCACCAGTATTTTCTATCCAACTATATATTGGGCAATCTTTTCCAGTTGATATTCATCTTAGCAAGAAAAATAATATAACGGGGAGCAAAGAGAAGGAGACCAAAAACTACTGAGATAAGTCTTGTATAACGTTCCATACATACTTATTTTACACCCTTCATTATACGAAATCCAAATTCGTTCCTTTGAACAGCATAGTTCTGTCGAATCTGTTTTCTTTGTAGTGTACTGTTTTATGATGTATGTATGTTCATTTAAATACATCATCGCTTCAGTATTTAGAAACAAATCAGCATGTGTCAATTATTATATCCAATGCAGGGTTTGTACCATCATATATCATTTTGTTTTTTTGATAACTGTTTCCTGTATCTGTACGCGGTGTAGAACATCTACGTTGATGTTCTATGTCGAAATGATTGGGGGCCTACTAGAGTTAGACGAGAATGGTGACGAGCCAACTAACGCTGAAGTCACACCTCGCGACCGGCACCTTACGTGGAATTCCCCATCGACGTATCAAGAACCATGGATGCTATGGAGACTGTACAACACAAAGGACGTTATTACAAGAATATATTAGTTAAGGTACAACCACGAAAGTAAAGAAGTGAAAGAACAACCACTGCCGCGTGGGCCAGTCCATGGCATATGATTGATTGGTGTGCGTTGACTATCCTTGACCTTGACAGGGATCGATGATCTGTTCGATATTCAGTGACATTTCACCGACCCTACAGTGGTATCGAAATAGGCGAGGGTTCCGAAGAAATGAATGACGTGCTTAGTTCTTTGAAATAAATCAGAAAACATCGCTGACAAATCATGATAATTGTGATATGTAACACACTCAATACTATCTAGTTACAAAAACACGGGATTATGAAGATTGTCTTGTTTAAAATAGTTCACTTTTTCCGTATTTCAAAACTCATCTAGGTTATCCGTAGTCCCCTTCAAGGTCAACATACTGGTATGATTTGTCGTTTCCCTCATATCAGTTTTTAACTTACCACGGAGTGCCGTTTTTGACCGGGCATCTTATAACCAGTTGGTATTTAAATGTCTCAATGATATCATTTATTTAGTGTTGTCGTTTAGAATCTCCTTGTCTCATGGCTGCAGCCATGAGAAAATAGTGAGACTTTGCCATTTTTATCTACCTCACTTTGCAGTGTCTCTGAATTTTCGACGGAGTGTCTGCTTTTCGCCTTAATATACGGCTAACTATTTGCCTCTATTCTACATTTACGTAAAATAGCCTTCTACTCACTTGAATTTTCGCGAAGTCCACTCACAATCATATGCTCAGTTCAAATGTTTCCTATGTTTGCCTTCATTTTTCCATAGGACAAACGTTTAGTCACTAGGTTAAGTTCTTAAAATATGTACACGGGTGAAGACACCGATTTACAGAAAGTGAGATCATAGTTTACAAAGAGGTTAATAACAGTCCGACATTTGCCATACATCTTTCTAAGTGCAAAGTGTTTTTGTATTTAACCAAGATCGTTGAGCAACGTCAGAGTTACCAGTTGACATCACTTACCATAAATGTGTCTTAGTTTTCAATTAGTATGGAGTCAGTCTTCAGTAATAAGAATAGGAGGTCTATTGACTTATTTTAATTTTTGAAGTTTGTTACACTGTGGAGGTTCGATTTCGTCTTGAATATATCAACAGAAGGTGCTGATATTAGGTGTTCTGGTAGAGAATTCCAGTAATTCACTACTTGGTGCGAGAAACGGAACTCCAGACGTAGACGATTTGACCTCGGTTTTTGGACTTTCTTCGAATGTCCTCTCAAATGGTCAGCCCTTAGATGGGAGGAAAAGATAGGACATGTTAGTACTAAGGTCATCGTTCAGGATACGATATGCCAATATTAAATCACCCCGTATTCGCCGGCAAAATAACGGAAATAAGTTGAGGTGTCTCAGTCTGTCTTCATAATATAGGCCTTCTACCAATTTTGTCCCGCGGCGTTGGACTCGTTCCAACATATCCGCCTCATATTTGAAACAAGGACTCGCTGCTTGAATCCCATATTCCAAATATGGCCGTACGAAAGTTGGGTATAATAATCTAAACATTTCCTCATCCAGTGACCGGAAAGACCTACGAATAGACCATAATATCCTATAGCTTTTTACTGCAGCAGCCTTACAGTGACTGGTTGTTTTGAGATCATTACTTAGTATGACTCCTAAATCTTTATAGTTTCTTACTTTGGGCAACAATGGTCCACATATTGTGTAGTAATACGAATAATCGTAGTTATTTAATTGCATCACTACACTTTTGCTAGGATTTACTTCTAGTGACCACCCGTTCATCCATGCCACTAATGAGTTAAGATCTTCTTGTAATATTATTCTGTCTGACATGCTATATATATGGGTCTTCTAATCTTTATGTCATCGGCGAAGAGTAGGACGGATGACTTAGCTATAGTTGGTAATCTATTTACATAAAGTACAAAGAGAAGAAGACCTAGGATTGTGCCTTGGCGACTCCACTTTTTGCTGGTTTTCATAATGAAAGAGCTCCATTTACTCTTACCCTTTGTCTCCTGTCATGAAGAAAGTCACTTATCCAGTCTGTGAATTTCAAAACTATCCAGTTTTAATTTAAGACCAGAATGGGAAACCTTATCAAAGGCTTCACTTAGATCTATGAAAATCACATCTACAGGAATATTGTGATCTTTTGCCTCAGCCCAATCTTCTCTTGCAATGAGAAGATTTGTCAAACATGATAGGCCTTTCCGAAAACCATGTTGTTCCTTGGACAAAAGATCATGTCCTTCCACGTAGTTTATAACAGCCATTCTAATAATTTTTTCCATCGGTTTTACAACTGCGCTAGTTAAGCTGACGGGTCGATAGTTACTAACTAAATTTCTACTCCCAGCCTTATACACCGGACTGATTATCGCGTCTTTCCAGTCTCTGGGCGATCTGGACTGCCAGAGGGACATATCAAACAGTATAGCTGAAGGTTCAGCAATTTTATCTGATAGGGCTTTCATAATCCTAGGATGAATATCATCAGGACCACTGGACTTATCAGGTTTGAGATGCTGAAGTAGTCTTAAGACAGTATCTTTCTCAATAACTACAGGGTCCATCAACAAGACGCCACAATCATAATGAATAGGTGGTCGTTCCTCATTATGAGTAGAAAAAACTTTACTCCGATAAAGCTTCGGCTTTTTCGGTATCATTTCTTGTCAAAATTAACGGATTTTCTTGTACCAAAAGTAATGGGATTCCATACACACTATCACTACCCAATCTCCCTATTTTGGGGAAGCCCATTGAACTTTAGGGAAAACCTCTAAATTTCCCCCAAAATAGAGATATTGGGTACGTACGCGTATTCTTCCTCAACATGTTTCATGGAAGTGAGAAAATAGATGGTGGTTTGTCGAAAAATTGATATTGAAATAAAAACAATTCTAAAAATACCGGTTAGGCTCCATTGCTACACCGATTTCAGTATTCAGAATCTTAGTAACCGTCTTGTGAATTCTGAAATTTAACAAAAACAAACTTTTATAATAATTTTACTTCCATTTTTTTGTAACCAACAACTAGCAGCATAAAGTGTTCGTTAACACTAAACAACGCCTATAGAGAAGCAATCAAGGGTTATTATCTAGTTGTAACGTATATTATCTTTCTTCCCTTCATTACGCTTCTAGAGTTTGTCTCTCACGTCATAAAAACGACCTTACATTGCGATGTCGAGATTTTGCAGGGTATTTTTCTGTGGCACTTGATAATAAACATCATAATGCTAGTGCGCCTAATGATTAAAAATAAAAATGTACACTTTCCGTATGTTGCCATAAAACTTGCGCCTCCGAAACGCCCTTATAGATGTAGCATCAAGTAGCGTACAGTGGCTAACAACTCCGGGTTTAATGACGTAGCTCATGGAGGTTTTTGAGTAACCATCCATTATTCGCATCACCATGACCATCTGAATTGTAAAGTAGTAATCTAATCAGTCAGTCACAACGTAGAACTTCGTACGTACATCAGTTGAACTTGCCATACCACATTAACAAAGAGATGCAGTTGTCGATTCAAATACCATAGCAGCAGAAGTAGTAAGAGTATAAACAGTAATCTGAAAGAGCCCCCAAATGCCCTGGTACGGTCGAGGATGTGAAAAGGCCGCTCTCCCTCTCGAAATGCTCTCATATGGCCACGCGTACATAGCCACTGTCAGGAAAGTCCTACTCACTCCCTTCTCGTGGCGGGGGTGTTGTTTACGAAAGTGAGAGGACGAAAAGCGAATGTCTGGCGCTTTAACCGGGCTGGTGGACACGGAAAGTCTACATAGGGGAGTTGGAAAACCCTGATTCCAAACCAATGGTGCATATGGGCTCCAGTATCCTGAGGGAACAAATGGCGTATGAATCAATCGTTGGTCATCGGCTACCATGGGACTGCATCTCCTTACAATGCTCCACTGCCTTTGTGGATCAGACCTTTAAGTCAAAGGTTCTGGGTGTGGCCCCCTAAGAAAACCATCTGTTTCAGTTTGGGCACCTGGGCAGTATCGCAGCCCTCACACAAATCAAATGAGAATTATGCGGCGCATATGTATCTGGTGCCTCCTTGTACTTATGTGTGTGTTCAAATAAATAAATATAAACGGAATAATATATTGATCAATTTCAATAATTATCGACAAAGCAGTCACCATTTTATTGTTAAGTAATATTGAGTTCATCAGTGCGATGAAAGGCTTTCAAACTCAATCAACTAGCTTCATACGGAATACATCAATACAAATGGAGGTGCACTGAAATTAAATCAGAGAAATTCGCTATATATTAATGTATTAACCTTAAGGTTGTTTCCTTTCTAAATGCAGCAGCAACAGTCGGGTTCTGAATGCTGTACTTATGGATTCAATACCCACAACACCCCTTTCAAATAATATATCCCCCCTTGGTTCTCTCGAAACTGAACCATTCTTCACCGTTGTCGTCTTGACCATTTTGGACGTAGTCTCACTAGTCCTAAAGGTGTTATCTCTGTCCTTTCTAGTTTGTCGTTCGGGGGCTGTAGTTGTTATTAGTGTTTTTAGTATCCAGTTGCTTGTCATGGTATGTTCTGGCCAACACATGTCTTCGTAATTGATTGGGTTTGGAGTCCGTTTGTCTTTTCCAACCTCCTTATACATTACTTGGTCAAGTCTTCTTGTCACACATCTCTATCCATGTGTCATACCTCGATCTGTAATGTTGGGAAAACACAGGAGATCCTATTCCAAATTCTGACACTCAGTTTTGATGTGTTCGCACAGCTAATTCTTTTCAGCAGTATGTGAGGCGTTTTCAATCTACGACCCGTGAGGATTCCTGCTGGCGATTTCTGATTCAGTAGTGCATCGTTTGGTGATGAGCGCCTTCCTTTGATTTTGACAGCGTTATTTTGAGGGTGTCCACAAGTCGCTCTGCCTTTTCATTTGACCGAGGATAGTATAGCGGTAAGCAGTTTCGTGTAATGGATTACTGTTGGTAAAATTACTGAAATGGGGGAGGTAAGCTGTTGTCCGTTATCTAACCCTTATTGTTCGGTATTGTTCCAGGAAAAATCCTTAGTGCCCAGAGAGTCCTTGTTATTGCTAGGGGTTGTTATTTGTTTATCTGTTCGTTTGTACATATGAGCATCCGTACAAGGGGACATCAAGTACACATGAGCCACACAATAACAATGAGGCCAGTAGTAGTTATCATTGATTTTTGTGAGGTATGGAATACTGCTCAGATGCTCAAACCTGAGCAGATGATTTTCTTGGGGGCTACACGCGAGCCATTGTCCTAAAAGGCTTATTCACAAGGTAATGGAGCAACGTTCGGAAATGCAGTCCCATGGTAGCCGGTAACCAAAAATTGGTTCGTACGTCATTTGTTCCCTCAGGATCCTGTAGCCCATATACGCCATTGGTTGGAAATCAGGGTTTTCCAACTCCCCTAGGTGGATCCTCCATATCCACCAGCCCAGTTATGGTGCCGGACATTCGCTCTTCGTCCTCTCACTTTCGTAAACAACACCCCGCCGCTAGAAGGTAATTAAAGTGGATGAAAATTCAATCTTCGTTGAAGCAAGTATTTACTGCAGCAACCAAGCGACTTGTGGGTGAACAAATTCTTATGTATCCTGCTAACTTTGTAGATATGTACGTGGAGAAGGGTGCTCAACTACATAACAATTGGTCGGCTATCAGGTGTGAGGTTATTCACTACTATGGTGAATTATATACACAGTTCACTTCTTGTAAACGGTGTACAAACTAAGACGGATCTGTTGGTTTCGTTCAGTAAAGCGACCAGCTGTCATGCTAATATTTTGGCTGACGAAAACACAGTGCCATGAAATGGAGAAAAATCCAAGAGTTAAGCATAATAATCCTATAAATCTTTTGTACAGAAGCGTTGAAACAGAGACCGGGTCATCGGTATAATTCAGTTGACATGGATGAAACTGAAATGCAGGCTGAAAACAGTCACTTTCAAATCCTCAGTTCAGGTTACTGGACATTCAAGTATGACTGACTAGAAAGTAGGTACGTTATATTTATAAATGCATATACATGAATTCGGCACAAGTTAAAACGTTGTCATCGAATTACACGCCAACACGTATTAGCAATTGGTTTGCGGCTGAAGTAAACAACTTAAGTTTATTTTTCAGATATACAGAACTATAAGCTGTTCCCGATTAAATGTCGTAAGTAATATCAAACTCGAGTGCTTATGTTATCCAGCTCATGTCATTCCAAGTCTGATGCGCGCAAAAACCCATGGAGAATTGATACTGGATCATCAAGTTTACATTCCCCTTTGTCATCTGAAGAGGAACTGAGAACATCAGACTCATGTCTTAAGCAAGAAGACATGGACAAATTCGAACTGGACGTGGTTGTATAGACCAGATATTCACTCTACGTCAGGTCGTAGAACATAGACATACATTCAGACGACCCACAATCGTAGTATTTCTTGACCTTAAGGCGGCATTCGACTCCGTTGATCGCGAGGTTCTATGGCAGTGTTTGTCACTGAAAGGAGTACCAAAGAAGTACATTAACCTCATAAAGGCTCTCTACTCGATCACAACTGGTCGAGTTACAGCCTATGGCAAACTGTCATCAGAATTGATTACGTCAAGTGGTGTTCGTCAGGGCTGTCCACTCTCTCCATTCTTGTTTAACTTTATCGTAGATGTGCTTTTAGAGGTAACACTTTCCTCATCTAAATCTCCAGGAGTTGAACTTCTACCAGGAGACTCACTTGTTGACTTAGGATATGCCGATGTCATAGTTCTATTCGGTGAAGACGCTGACAAGGTGCAGTCTTCTGACCACTATAAGCAACTATGCAAGCATGTTCGGGATGCGATTCTCCTCCTCGAAATGCGAAATGTTACTTCAGGATTGGGTTGCATCGACACCTGAACTAATGATCGGGAGTGAAGTAGTTCAGCGTGCCTACCACTTCACTTATCTTGGGAGTCTCATCAGCCCTTGTGGTCTGGTGTGTGACGAAATCTCAGCACGGATACAGAAGGCTCGTCTAGCTTTCACCAACTTGCGTCATTTATAGCGTTGGCGAGATATTCGTCTAGCAACCAAAGGACGGGTTTACTGTGCAGCAGTTCGTTCCGTCCTACTTTATGGCAGTGAAAGATGGCTGATAAGAGAAGGGAATATTCGTAGGCTACTAGTATTCGATCATAGGTGTCTTCGAAGCATTGCTTGTATATCCTGGTACCACCGAATAAGTAATGCAGTTGTTAGGAAACGGGTACTAGGTAAAGATGGTAAATCGATTGATGAAGTAGTGAAACTTCATCAGTTGAGATGGATGGGACACGTGTTACGTATGCTCAGCCACCGACCACCTCGACGTGCGATGTTTTGTGGTGTAGAAGTAGGTTGGAAGAAAACTAGGGACGAATTCATTTATTTATTTATTTAAACACATAAATATTGGTACAAGGAGGCACCAGATACATATGCGCCGCATAATTCTCATTTGATTTGTGTGAGGGCTGCGATACTGCCCAGGTGCCCAAACTGAAACAGATAGTTTTCTTAGGGGGCCACACCCAGAACCTTTGACTTAAAGGTCTGATCCACAAAGGCAGTGGAGCATCGTAAGGAGATGCAGTCCCATGGTAGCCGATGACCAACGATTGATTCATACGCCATTTGTTCCCTCAGGATACTGGAGCCCATATGCACCATTGGTTTGGAATCAGGGTTTTCCAACTCCCCTATGTAGACTTTCCGTGTCCACCAGCCCGGTTAAAGCGCCAGACATTCGCTTTTCGTCCTCTCACTTTCGTAAACAACACCCCCGCCACGAGAAGGGAGTGAGTAGGACTTTCCTGACAGTGGCTATGTACGCGTGGCCATATGAGAGCATTTCGAGAGGGAGAGCGGCCTTTTCACATCCTCGACCGTACCTGGACGTTTGGGGGCTTTGGGAGTACCACGGGGAGAATTTCCGGCCATTTCAAGAACTCATAAACCAGAATGAGATATTCAGTACCATTGATTGGGTCCACAGTATCTACCAAAACTTTAGATCATGGGCTCATTTTTTCTCTAATAACACTAGCTACTGGCCACCAGTCAGTTTTAACTTTTATTGAACCCATGTTACTTACTGTTCACTACATAATATTACTAAAATTCTACACAGTTTATAAAATTAAAGACTAACGAAATAGCATCTGAAATATCCTATCATCATTCGTGCTTTATGAAGCTCACTAGAATTTTAATCCAAGCCATGAAATGTGTTTATTTTGGTTTTTTCCTTATTCAAAGTATTAGTTTATGAATGTACTAGCTTTTGTGTCTTGCTTGTTCCTGGAATAGATCTTAGTCAAAATTATTACTATCAGTACTTCACACAAAAAAGTTGCGATAGCCAGCAGTATCTACTGTTATATTCCGAAAGAATGTCATGGTATGAATCACTTGTATTTAAAGACTTCTGATTTTACCTGACTATAAAACGTGGTGTATGCTTGAAATAGTGATCCAGTTGTTACTCACTTTCATGTACGTTTTAGAAATAATTGTTAACAGACACAATGTTTTGCATGAATTTTTCCATTTAAAATGTATTTTCCAGTATTTCTGTGCCAATGCAGGTGACGAAAATTGTTTCAAAACATCGACTAAGGTATAGACAAGCACGCATTGTCTTTCCATTGCTTCTTCCAGTGTTATTTGGTATCGCATCACTACATCCAATCGCTACTGTGCTTACTCTTCTTTTATGTTTGGTGGCATGTTTCAATGTCGTTATTGTAGTCGCTCCACCCACTTGTCCCTTAGAAGATACCTTCTTTTTCTTCAAATCATCTGATAGCTGTGACGGGTTTCTTAGGTATGTGTTGTGACATAATTCCCTTGAGCTGATATGGTATTTTAACGTGGTTGTATTGCCAGTAATATGTTTCTATGTACATACTATTAATATATCTCAGTAGTATATGACTTCTATCTAGTTATGTTCTGTGATCAAACGATTACCTTATTTGTATTATCCAGTACCTAGTAAATTTCACAAATTTATATGACCTGTTTTAGTGCGTTTAAAATATCTTTATTTCCATTAACCTCAGTGAATATGTCCGTCATATCTGTTTCCTTGTGAAACACAATACAATAAGTATCTGTCCATGAATATCAGGTTATATATCGTGGGCAAGCAAGTGACCTTCAAAGTTGATATCCTCCGATCGTTTATGACATCGAATCATGCTCGTTTTTCTGCCGATAATTTGTATATGAGTACGTTATTTTATCAAACAAAAAAACATATTATTCCGGCTAGAATGTTAGTTCATCCATTGTTTTGGAAAAAAACTCGTTTTTGCATGTAGTCATCACCCGTCCATATCTCAACATTGGGTTTACTTATCTATCAGCATTCTACTTACCCATTTTAATAATGTAAAAATAGTTCACTATTCATCTTTAGTCTCAACCCACGAGCGTGGTGATCGTGAGTGGACCATCTAAATTAAGTAGTGCTTGTAAACGTTGGACGAAAGGTGTAAATTCGAAGAATTGACCTTCAAATACTCATAATTGCAAAGTAGAAATATTAAACTACCGTATATATCTCCCTTCGGTTTATCTTTAGAATGCAGTGATAAGTAATACTAGATAACTCTACCGAGATATCGAGGAAAAAAATATTGAAAAAGTAGATATTATTGAGATTATCACGAAAAAGGACTGAACATTTATTAACAATCCAGCAAATTAGACAGATGAAGATCTCGACCGTAGCTGCTAACTTGACATACTAGTCGGGATTGCCTATCGTGGTGACTCAATCGAGCCATATTGGTTGGAACACATGTTCTCTTAGGTCCTACTATGCCAGGTAGGTCGGTTAGGTAACGGTAACAATAAAAGCAGCAACTTAAACTCTGAGGGCGAAGGCATACGTCTAACTGTATAGCGGTGTGTCAGCAGTTGGGCGTTTTTATTGGACAACCAGTGTTTTTAGTGGTGCTCTCCATTTACAACAAAAAATGGGGTTAAAAATGATCAACCCTAAGAATGTCACCATACCCCACAGATTCCCGTCTCCTACGGTAAGGCATTTTAAAGTGCGGAGCTAACTTATCAAAAACGTCTCATGTGTGACTGGCCTCATGCAGTTCCCCTTTGGGCTATGAGATCACACTCACGGATCGCTAAAATCACTGATTCGGATTCTTTCTCAGGTCTGTCAATAAGAAATATCCTCGCATGGTGTGGGCGGCCGACAAGTGACAACCGCCCTCATACCTTTAACAACACCCCAAATCATTTTGTTCATGATAAAATCATTCCCTCAATTCTTGATACCTCCCGTATCCCTACGACTAAACATTCTCGCATATCTTTATCACCATGCGCCACCAATGATTTGAGTTTACAAAATGTTATGTTGGGTCTAATCTTTGGGCATTGTAATAATATCCTGAATACAAATCTATCTAGGCTTGGTACTAAAACATCCAGTCATAATCGTGCAACAGTAAAGTTGTCAAGCAAACTTTAATTTTCACAATAACCTCTCTGCTTAATAATTTGTTTTTTTGTGCTTTCAAAACCTGAGAAATATTTTTGCAGCGGAACATATTCCTTTGTTTCCTTGTTACAATCAAATATGATATGCATTGAGTGATTTCGCAGGATGATTGACGCAATAGATGTTGATAGCAAAACACCGTTTTCTGTATTATTTCATACAAATAGCATTGTCTAACTTTAGATTTCAGTGGTTTAAGAAACTTTACGATCAGTTGTTTACTCGGCTTTTGTGTGATATCCTTGTATTTAACAGTCAAAGTTGCATAATATGGTTGTTTCCATGCTTTGTTCACTAGCCTGTACATAATTAAATAATAACCAACTTCTGAGAAATAGTATTGACTGAAGCCCCATGGCACCGTTAGCACAAACTGTTTGTCGACAAAATTTGGAGTAGTTGCCTACATTTTTTGGAATTCTATAACAAATAGGAATGTGTAGCCAAGTTGCCCCGTAAAATGTCGAATTGTAGTGCCATTAATATATTTCAAATTATCACTATTTTCGATCGTTGCTGCTACCTTGACGTGGCGGTCGGGCTTGCCTATCGTGATGAATCAATCGAACTATACTGTCTGGAACAATCGTTCCACAAGGTCCTACCATGCCAGGTAGGTCGTTTGAAGAGCGGTGAGACTAAAAGCAGCAAACCCAAGGTCCGAATGTGAAGTCGTACTCTGACTGTAGTTGGGTGTGACAGCAGTAAGGTGTTCCCTTCAGACAACCAGCATCCGCAGCGATGCTGTCTTCCCACAAGGAAGAAAAGGGTTAAAAAAGGTCGACCTTAAAAATGCACATCTCGCCTTATCCCATGGATATCCGTCTCTGGCGGTAAGGTCTCAACAAGAATGGAGCTAACACAAAAAGGTCGTGTGTGACCGACCTCAAGAAGTTGTCCCTTGGGCACTGCGGTCACGCTCTCAGGTCATTAAGACCACTTCTAACCCACTTTCCTTTTCAGGTACCCATAGAAGAACCCTTCCACGGTGTGGGCAACCGGGAAGTGGTAACTGCCCTCATAACTCTAACAGCACTCAAGGCCACTGTATTCATAATCAATATCCTTCTTTACTTCCTTCTACCTCGACTTTCAACACTAAACTTCCTCTCTCGGTTTCCTCCTCAAGTGTCACTATGGCCAACGATTCTAGTGCGCGAAACATTGTCTCAGATTTACTGAAAACTCGCTCCAAACTACACATTGGAGCCTTCAACGTACGTACCCTATGCCAAACCGGTCAACAGGCCTCCTTAGCTAAAACCCTAGAATGTCGTACCATTGATGTATACTGTGTCTCCGAAACACGCATACAGGATCCCAGTGTGGTCATTCACTTGACCTCACCTCGCCAAAATGGAGAGCCAACGAAATACACCCTCCGTGTATCTGGCGACCCGTTGGCTAGTTCTCGTGGACTTGCAGGTGTAGGCATAGCACTAAGTACAATGGCAGAACAGACACTATTAGAATGGATCCCCGTTAACAGTCGCCTGTGTGCTGTCCGGCTAAATGGCTCCGTAAGAACTCGGAATGATAGGGACGCACGTCGTTGCCTTTTCGTCGTTTCTGCCTACGCTCCCACTGACTGCGACGCGGATGAAGTGAAAGATGACTTTTACAGAAAGCTCTCTGAACTTCACAGAGCTAAGCGTTCAGACATAGTACTCGTAGCGGGTGACTTTAATGCCCAGGTAGGCAGCTTAAATCAAACAGAAAGACATTTAGGTGGGTGTTTTAGTATTCCGGCTCAACGAACAGATAATAGTGATCGTCTGTTGCAACTATGCTCAGACAATCGTTTATTTTTAGCAAGCACTAATTTTAAACATAAGGAGAGACATCGTCTAACATGGCGACCACCTGCACTAAACCAACGATGGACTGAAATAGACCATATTGTCATCAGTCATCGTTGGAGAGGCTCAATAGAAGATTGTCGCTCGTATTGGAATACTTGTTTAGACTCTGATCACGCTTTAATACGAGCGCGCATTTGTCTGCGCCTCAATGGACGCAGGAAAAGTGCACTAAGAAGACCCTTAAGGATTGAACTGGAGGACGAGAAAGGCAAATGCGAATTCCAGAAACAACTGAGTTCACATCTAGGCAGTTCTGTAAATGAGACTGACCCAGATGTTGCTTGGAAAGACATGCGAACAGCTGTGGAAACAGCAGTAACATCTATTAGTAATTTAAACCATAGGGTTCCAAAAAACCAGTGGATTTCTTCCAAGTCTATTTCACTGATGGATTCGCGTAAACTCATCCCATCAGGCTCTGAACACGACGAAGAGCGTAAACAAATTAGATCTAGGTTAACTAAAAGTCTAAGGAACGATCGTGAGCAGTGGTGGGCAACGAAATCAAAAGAGATGGAAAAGGCAGCGACTGTAGGCAACACCAGGCAACTATTCAGACTAATAAAAGAAACCGGAATTAAGAAGTCAAGTGTAAGTGAGACAATCTCGGAAAAAGACGGAACCCTTATCTGCTCTCAACCCAAACGTTTAGAACGATGGGCGGAACACTTTAAGGAGCAGCTCAGCTGGCCTTCAGCTACTGCACAACTACCCACTATTCCCAGAAAATCTGAATAGAACATCGAAGTAGGTCCCCCAACTCTAGCTGAAGTTCAAAAGGCTATAACTAATCTGAAACGAGGAAGAGCAGCTGGTCCAGATGGATTGGCTCCAGAGGTCTTTAAATATGGTGGTCCAAATAGAATAAGAGCATCTGGATTGTAAGCATTTATTTATTTATCATAGTTGAAAGCGTGAGTCAATTGAAGCTAGACCACGATGGAAAACCTGGAAGCGATTTAGGAGTGTTGGAAATCTATCAATTTATCTCAAGTCGTTCGTAAGTTTGCAAAACAGTGAAGCAAATATTGAAGTCTAATTCAAATTCACTGATCAAAAACATATCTCTGTTTTTTCCACAAAGTGATACCAATGTGATCTACAAATGTTCAGTTACTACTCTTTTCTTATGGTATTTCACAATGCTTATACCTGTAAATTTGGAGAATAAACTGCTCTATAAAGAAATAATAATGTACAATATTCTCGTTGTGGTTTGCGTACATCTTGTGCAAATTATACGTAATATACATGCACGCAGTCCTAATCATACAATCCTGTCAAGTTAGTTTGCTTTTATTTTTAATTTGTTAGGTAGGTAGTTTTAGCTGGAGGAAGTTTTCTTTGGCATATATTTGTGACCGTCAAGGGATTTCAGTAGCACTAATGAAGTAGGTAATAGGGAGTACAAATCTGGACATTAAAACCACCTCTAATATTTAGCTATAGTTGATGTGTGGGCAGAACATCTATGTAATCCGGTGGTCAACCAAAGCATTCTATCCAAACCTGTCCGCCTTAAAGTAGAATATTAGTATGGGTCGGAAGTTCTACACTGGCTAAATAAAAACCTCTAGCTACTGAAGTCAATATTGTGAATAGAAATAAACGGTGAGCATTATCTTTTTGCTCAAGATACAGACGATATATGTAATACTTAGACACACATTATCATCTGTTGTTACAAGTCATATAAATTTCGTGTATACGTGCGTGGCTTGCAGTGAAAACAATACACGGGATTGCTTGACGACGAAAGACTACTTACCTGAATTGATCGCCTTCAAGGAAAGTATGAAATGCAACGTAGTCCTGGTGGGTGTAAAAGACTAAAGCAATCTGAAAACCTCAATTGTAATGAGACATCATTGGGAAGGCCCTCCTTCCAGCATCAAAATCCATTGTAGAACGAACCGACTTAAATAAATAGCTACGTCAACCCACGTATTTCGGGTTAATTCAGATGTTATTTACATTAATGGGTTTTAATGGAGTTACACCTTCATAATCTATGTACACACGTCGCTTATGGGTCAGTTGAATATCTTCAAAATTGTGGGATCATTACGTCGGCTGTGATTGTGTGAGATCCCTCATGGGTTGATATACTTTAAAATTTGATTTTTGTTCTGTAATTTTCATATGAAAAATCCCCTTATTTATTACAAAGGAATGTTTCTGTTGTGTCAAATATTTGTTATTAGATTCACGATATCTCGGAAATGAACTGGAGAAAAATGGAAGTAAGCTCACTGTATTTGGGTTATGGAAACACACTGTATGTATATTTCGTGATACCAATGTGAGTAACGTTTGCTTTTCTCCATTGGCGTAGTTAAAAGGTTGTCAGTTAACTTTTTTAAAGTGGAAATTGTAAAATTACCATTCTATGTTCTGGGTAGCAAATGTTAAAACTTTCACTGCAACACATGAACGTATAAGAACCGCATATATATTATCATCTATACTTTACATAGAAAGTAACGAAACGCTTAGGAAAATTATATGGCACAAGTTAAAAATCAAACCGTTAAGCAACCATTTCACTTCGGTCACATTGCGGAACAATTTGCTTTGTTTAGCATACACATGTTTTTGCGCCGACAGGTGAAGTGATGAGGTCAAATTAGTTGGAATTAGTCGTCACTTAGGAAATAGAATTTTCAAGCTTTACCGAATCACCATTTTAACCTACAAAAGTTGTGTTAAAAAAAGCCTCAATTACTTGATATTATGATAGAAACACACTGGTTCGCGTGACAGAAATCTGACTATTTGCTGAATTCCATGTTTAGAATTTCTGAGTGACAGTGTCGTTCAGTAGGTTATCACACCTTAACTTACCTAGCGTGAGAACCCATACAGTGTGCATTATTTTTCACTCCAATCTCGCAGATTATTGCAAATGATATTTCTCCGGTTCGGATCTTGAATTGTATGGTCAAACATAATCGCTTGTGATATCGCTGATTGTTGCGTGAATAGCACTGCCGCTTTGACATCACCTAGATATACAAATTGAATTGTTTCAATGGCTTCTACTTCATAACATACAGTTTTATCTGATGTGCTCACTCATCCATCAACCATATAAGAAGTATTTGCAAATATACACCCCACTTGTATTCCATGCCTATCAACCTAAATATGAGGCATTACCGCATAACGCTAACTGAGGTTATTCACATCGTACGTTAACCTAAGAACCAAATCTTGTGAAGTGTGTTTGCAACAATCAGATAGTAGTCTTCGTAGTTACTTTCGAGTTGGCCCAAAAAAATCTTAAGATTCAAATCCATTGTTAAGAAAAAAATGATATAATTTGGTATATTTCGCAGTTCATTCCAAATCTGTGTAATACTGACTATCGAAACATTGTGCACTGCTAAAAATTATGTGAAGAGTTGCGCATTAAATTTATTTGATAAAGTCCTTTTGTTTTTATCGTTTATATATCTCAAGAAACAAAATTTTGAAGGAGATTGGTACTTTTCGTGGATGAATATATTTGTCAGCAAGTCCAATCGAGCTTGGTCCATCGTTTTACTGACTATTTGTGTTACGCTTACATTCTACTCTACTAATTTAGCCCTTACGTCTGTGTGCACACCAAAAATATACTTCGATTGGTTTTTACTTCCACATGATTGCTCCTTCATTTATGATGTTTATAGGTAGGTTGTAAAACAAATAAACTGACATTGTTTTCTGTGTAAACAATTGTTTAGAGAGGTAGTTTGCTAATTGCTTTTTAATTTCGACTTTCTGTCGAAAACTAAGCTAAGATTCACTTTCTGTGGAAATGTGTGAACTCGTATATATTATCCGTATTGGAAATTCTTAAAGCCTTGGGAGAACTAGTTTGTCAGCTAGTATACGATATATAACAAAATTTTTGGGCAGAAAAGGTGTGATCTTTAAGTTATAACACTCATTACACTGTTTCTAACGGGCACGCAAGTTGAGTAAATTTTGTAATGCACCTCTCATGTTTATATATTAAGTAATTTTCTTTTTTTAATCATTTCAGCAGAGCCTGGGTATTTGTTACAGGATTATTTTGGTTAATGACTTCTGTTATACCTATAAGTTTTCTTTTTCATGAACTTGCTGTCTATATACGGCGCCGTTCGAAAAACTGGTAAAATTTACTAACCGTTTAGTTAATTTACCCTCTTACGTAGTGTGTTCGTTTTGAATTATTACCCATAATTTTGTAAATGAAGTTCTGTGATACCATATTTCTTTTTTCCCCATAGTGAACACCACAAATTTTCACATAGTGGCATATATATATATACATATATACGATACAAGAAATATACTTTTTGAGTTTCACATCCGGTGGTTAAAATGTTGAAAATGCTTAGTAGTCGTTTACAGAACTTGTGAGTTATTGTTCAGCAGTAGCTCAATAAACAGTATACTTAGGGAGTATGTGTTTACTTCTCAAGACCTTAGATCCTCAGAATACTGTACATCCTACTCCCACGTTATCAGTGAAATTATTTCAACAAAATACTTTTTAGAGGGATATAAAATATTTAAAATTGATCCAGCATCTATTCTCCTTACAGATCTTGTGAGAAAATTTGTAGTTGTTGATTCGTTTTCAAATCCTTTCAGTCTTTCTGCCTAGGATGTAGGAAGCAAACTTGAACAACTTGAAAATTAAAGCGCACGTTAACTTCATTGCCACTGGTGTGGCGTTACATCCATCAATAAACGTGGTACTTGACAAAAATGCAAATTGCATTGGAATAAATCCAGATTCTTTACATGCTAAGATTAGTAGTAAGTCAAAATACATTATACAAAAAATATATGGATGATCAACCTAAGTGCTTTGTTGAGTGGTTAACTGGACACTTCACCGTCTATATCTATTGCTTTCCCACCTCGCTGAAGGATATTCTGTCCAGAACAATTAATTCTGTTATGAATCACCAGATGCTTTTTGTCAGAAGTTTAAAACCTTCCCAATGATGACCAGATGTTAGAGACAACTAGCCACTGAATAACTGCATAGCGTGGCATAATACTAACTCCATCATGAAATACTTCTAGTGGTTTGATTTAACATTAAGGAAAACTAGCCAAGAATTTTATACTACATATCATATGTAATCCGAACTTGAAAACCAAACGATAATTATAAAATAACGCCATTAAGAACACAAAAGATTCCTTGCAGGAATAAAAGTATAATCCTTCTAATAGTAAGTAATACAAAACTTGATTAATTTTGTGTATTGGGACTGGTCTGCTGACAATTATACACTGGTGAACGTTAAGTAAGTAGAATTTCTTCTCAAAAGCGAACCATACTATTGATACAGCATCATCCGGATAGTGCTTTATTAAGTACTTATTTTTTGCAGCTTGATTTACCTTCAGTAGTGGTACGGGTTAGCGCAATATAATATGCATTAGTTGGACCTTCCTGAGTATCATGGAAACCCAATGGCCCAAGTTCGCAATCAGCACATGTTAGGTAACGAAATGTGCTTACGGTGTTTGTAAATCCGACATTTTCAAATGCGTACATATCGTTAACACACCAGAATTCTTCAGTTAGTTCCGTAGGGAATTCTTTGGAGGGATTGCATAATTCCGATTTTCTAGCAAACACGGGCAAGTTGTGCTAAAAAGAACAGGAGAATACTTTGTTCAGACTTCCAGTGTTTCGCTGTTGAATGTGGACTGAATATTAAACAATAATTTTAAAAATTATTGACTTCGAAATGTCATTCTATTTATTGTACAGAATGGTGTGTTAGGAATTAACTTCTTTAGTGACGTTGAACACCAACAATAGGACAGCAATTATCCCTACGTGATGTAAGCTAGAAATCTTATAAAGCGGTTGAGGAGACATCTAGGAAGCTTGTTAGGTAAGTCTGGTTGCTGTCGATACCTGTGATCAAGAGGATCATAATTTTTATGTCTTGTAACAAACGCAAATGGTGGAATTTCTACACTACAAAGTAGTACAGTGACAACATTATTAAATAAGGTTGGACAAACTGAATACAGCATTAAAGCAGTTGATATGACAACCAAGATTGTTTGTTGATACTGTGACCTGCAACTAAGCTAGGTTGACAACTACTGAAGCACTTTGACAAATTATGTACGACCTTATACATTTTTTTGTACCAGTGCAAGTTAGTGTTAAATTGGATTAGGGAGTCAACAAACAGCATATTTTACGCAGATATTTGAATCACGCAGCGACTATACATGTGAGCAGTTCGTGTGGACCCAAATATCACCGCTATAATAGGATAAATGTTCAATCCCTCCTTCTGCTTTAAAGTATTGGACAGTGGTAGAGCAATAGGCCCGAAGTCGTACTGCTGACTGTTCAGAGGTGTGACGGCAGTAAGGTGTTCCAATTGGACAACCAGCATCTGCATTTTGACATTGCTCTAAGGTCGTCTATAAATTATAATGCCACCGAATTATGATATAAAGTTTATCGTTAAGGTTAGGAATTAGACTTCAGGTTTTCATCACAAACTGACATCAGCTACCAAGACGCTATTCATTCAAGTGAATGAGCGAATTTCGCGTCAATATTCGATTGGTTCTTCCATAAATTATAGTCTTGCTGGGAATGTCCATGCTGTATAACGTACTCATCTGATTATCACTATTTTAAGTCCTCAAGTCTTCTGGTATTTATTTTTCTCAATGAACTATGCGACCGAATTGGCTTTGTGGTCATGGTGTTCAATAATTATTCCAGACTGAATATTCAACCGAAATACAAGGGGTTTGTATGATCCTAAGAAAGACATGTCTGAATAAAGAAAGCGGCTTTTAGTTTGTTTGGACACACATTGGAATGCCTCGACCATAGATGCTACCTTGACGTGGTGGTCGGGCTTGCCTATCGTGATGACCCGACCAAGCTATATTGACTGGAACATATTTCCCTGTAGGTTCTACCATGCTAGGAAGGTCGATTAGAGGACGGTGAGTCTAATAGCAGCAAGTCAAGGTCTGTGTTCCCCTTGGACAACCAGCATCTGCAGCGATGCTGCTTTCTCACAAGTAAAGGAGTTAAATAAGGTGGACCCTAAAAATGTCACGCCTCATCTTACCTAACAAATTTCCGTCTCCGGTGGTAAGGCCCCTCTGAAGAACGGAGCTAACATGTCAAAAACCTCACACAAAAAAACCGTGCGTGACGGGCCTCAAGCAGTTGTCCCTTGGACTCTGCGGTCACGCTCCCAGGTCGTTAAGACCAACACTAATCCAACTTCCTTTTCAGGTCCCTCAAGGAATACCTTTCCATGGTGTGGACAGCCGGGAAGTGATATCAGCCCTCATGCCCGTAACAGCATACGAGAACAAGTTGGTCACATTCAAACTCTTCTTACACCTAATAAATCTCTTATCTCCACGACTAACCCTTCTCACGTTCCTTTATCACCTCGCATCGCTAGGGCAAACGATTCGAGTACACAGAACGTTATTCCTGATCTCCTGAAACCACGCTCTAAACTACATGTAGGAACTTTTAACGTCCGAAAAATGTGCCAAATAGGACAACACGCTTCCTTAGCTAGGACTTTAGAATCTTATACCATCGATGTGTGCTGCGTCTCCGAAACGCGCATATAGGATCCGAGTAGCGTCATTCATTCGACCTCACCATGTCATAATAAAGAACCAACTCGATTCATTATTTGAGTATCTGGGAGCCCCGATGCTGCTTCCTGTGGCCTCGCTGGCGTAGATATAGCATTGAGTCCTAGGGCAGAACTAGCTCTTTTAGACTGGATCACAGTAGACAGTCGTCTATGCGCTGTTCGACTAAACGGATCAGTAAGGACTCGGAAAGGTAGGGAAACTCGTCGTTGCCTCTTCGTCGTCTCTGCCTACTCTCCCACTGACTGCAGCTCAGACGATATAAAAGATGAGTTCTACAGGAAACTTTTTGACCTCCTCCGAGAAGCTAGGCGTTCTGATGTAGTAATAGTAGCAGGTGACTTTAATGCTCAAGTAGGTAAACTAAGTGAAAGGGAAGGACACCTGGGTGGATCTTATGGTGTCGTGGCAAAAAGAACAGATAATGGCGACCGTCTGTTGTAGCTGTGCTCAGATGACCACCTATTTCTTGCAAATACTAACTTTAAGCATAAGGAAAAACATCTTTTGACATGGCGACCCCCGAATTCGTCCCAACGTTGGACCCAATTAGATCACATCGCTATCAGCCACCGATGGAGGGGCTCGATGGAAGGCAGTCGCTCGTTCTGGAGCACATGATTAGATTCAGATTATGCTCTAGGGCGAGCACGTATCTGTCTGCGTCTTACTGGACATAGGAAAGACGCTGCAAGGAAGCCTCTTAGGTTTCTACTTAATGATAGACAAGCTAAGAATATATTTCAGGAACAACTAGAAAAACAGTTAGGCAGCCTTGTAAAATGTGCCTATCCCGAGGCACCGTGGAACGACATCTGAAAAGCTGTGAAAACAGCAGTGATATCTGCCAGTACGGTAAACCATAAGGTTAGGGAGAAACACTGGATCTCAGCAGCATCTACCACACTGATAGATGCTCGAAAACCCATCCCACCTGGCTCTGAACATAACGAAGAGCGAAGTCAACTTAAGCGCAGGCTAATAAGAAGCTTACGCGATTATCGTGAACAGTGGTGTGTAGCGAAAGCAAGAGAGATGGAAAAGGCAGCGTCAATAGGTAACAGTAGACAGCTATTCAGACTCGTTAAAGAAACCGGTATCAGGAACCCAACTGTTAGCGCAACTATCTCGGAAAAAATGGATATATTATTCATTCTCAATCCAAGAGATTGGATCTATGGGCAGAACACTTTAGGGATCAGTTCAACTGGCCTTCAGCCACACTTCAGTTACCCACGATACTCAGTCGTCCTGAATGGCAAATTGATATAAGTCCTCCAACTCTCTAAGGATTGAGGTCCCGTATTAGCAGAGAGATTGACTGAGGTCTTAGGTAAAATCTGGGAACTGGACGTAATTCCATGTGACTGGTCCCAATCAGTGCCAGTCTATAAGAAAGGACAAAAGTCCTCTTGTGACAATCACAGAGGAATCCCTTTGACTAATATAGTGTCTAAAATATTAGCTTCAATAATACTTGGACGCCTAATTAAAGCTCGTGAAGAGCAGACTAGAGAAAACCAGGCTGGTTTTTGACCTGGACGTGGTTGTATATATCAGATATTCACTCTACGTCAGGTCCTGGAACATAGACACACATTCAGACGCTTATGGCTAACTGTCATCAGAATTGATTACGTCAAGTGGTGTTCGTCAGGGCTGTCCACTCTCTCCATTCTTGTTTAACTTTATCGTAGATGTGCTTTTAGAGGTAACACTTTCCTCATCTAAATCTCCAGGAGTTGAACTTCTACCAGGAGACTCACTTGTTGACTTAGGATATGCCGATGTCATAGTTCTATTCGGTGAAGACGCTGACAAGGTGCAGTCTTCTGACCACTATAAGCAACTATGCAAGCATGTTCGGGATGCGATTCTCCTCCTCGAAATGCGAAATGTTACTTCAGGATTGGGTTGCATCGACACCTGAACTAATGATCGGGAGTGAAGTAGTTCAGCGTGCCTACCACTTCACTTATCTTGGGAGTCTCATCAGCCCTTGTGGTCTGGTGTGTGACGAAATCTCAGCACGGATACAGAAGGCTCGTCTAGCTTTCACCAACTTGCGTCATTTATAGCGTTGGCGAGATATTCGTCTAGCAACCAAAGGACGGGTTTACTGTGCAGCAGTTCGTTCCGTCCTACTTTATGGCAGTGAAAGATGGCTGATAAGAGAGGGGAATATTCGTAGGCTACTAGTATTCGATCATAGGTGTCTTCGAAGCATTGCTTGTATATCCTGGGACCACCGGGTAAGTAATGCAGTTGTTAGGAAATGGGTACTAGGTAAGGATGGTAAATCGATTGCTGAAATAGTGAAACCCCATCAGTTGAGATGAATGGAACACGAGTTACGTATGCCCAACCACCGACCCCCTGGACGTACGATGTTTTGTGGTGTAGGAGTAGGTTGGAGGAAAGCTAGGGGCGGCCAGACCAAGAAGTGACACAAATCCATGAAGTCACTGACAAGTGGACTAAGCCATATTGGTAGGTGTAGACTACATGGTTGGTATACGCGAGATGATAGCAATCGATGGTTAGATACCTTGAATGACATGGCTCAAAATCGTTTGCAATGGCGAAGGTGCATCCACTCCTTGTGTTCTCTCAAATTCTAATGTTCTAAATTGTTCATGTCCCTTTCTTTTTTTTCTCTTCCCAAATTTATTTCACTGTATTATACTCCTTGAATAACATCTTCAAACCCTAATCTTTCACATAATGCTTATACTCTTACTACTTCTATCACTATGGGATTTGAATGGACAACTGCATGTCTGTGCTAATGTGGTATGGCAACTCGAACTGATGTACGTACGTACGAAGTTCTACGTTGTGACTGACTCACTGACTGAAAGCAATATACAAAAACAATTAACCAAAAGCGCGCACATTGGGCAACTACTAAATTACGGAAACCTTTTCTAAATGAAAGTCCTGATCATGTGAATAATAGGTGGAGATTTCAGGAAATCACTCATCACGTAGTGGACTTCTTAAATATTCTATCCGGGACCAGTGCAGTGCACATCTGCAAAAAAACCCATTTATTTATGTAATGATAAAGGAACATCATGCTCCATTAAGAAAGTAAAAGATAGTAGATTGACTTGTAAGGGATTTTTCGTGCAGAAGTACCTGTTCCATTCGGCCAAAATCTCATGATTACCAACATATGTCACATTCAGCTCCAATAAAAGATCCACTTGTGCCTGGGAAGACAGATTCGCTAGAAGGGCAGAGGGATAGGTAATTATCCTGTTCGACAGATAAACAACAGAGAATACCATTGTAAAGGTAAATCAGTTACTCGGCGCAATAGCTCATGGTTTATACTAATGGGGATAAAGAAACGCCTATTTTTATATTTCTAACACGATGACTACACAAAATCTTTACTGTCGTTGAGTTAAAAGATGTCAGATAACTTTTCTGACCCATATAGTTTGAGAGAACTAGTCACTGGTCCTGCGCCGTTTTAGCTGTTATTTTTTATTAAAATACATTACTAATTATTTTTTCATGAGCTAACTGCCTCTACGCTTTTCTAATCAGTCCCAGAGTCAGTCAATAATGAACAATGTGGAGGCCGCTAGTATAACATTCGTAAAATACATACATGCCATCAATTTATCTACTGCCACTGTCCGAACACACATTGCTGAACCTCAGCATTATTAAAGGCGTCATTCCTGGATGTCAATAGTCCTTTGGAGACAATGATGATCGAATACAGAGAGTTGCCTAATATTCTCGATCTGGAGAGATTGGGTTTCAGGCATAGAGTGAAACTGCTCCCGTTGCAAACTAGCCATCTGACGACGTCGTTAAAGATTACCAGGATTGTAATAAGCTCCTCTGGTTTTCGTTATAAGTAAATTGATCTCAGCACTCACGCCACAACCGGCACCCACATAACTACCCAGATACACGAACTTTCTAGCCCTAACGGGCAACCACCGAGTACAGGCACGAGCTCATGCTGGTCTTGTAGAAGCACTTTGGACTTAGGTGTGAAAAGCATACAATACCTATAGATGCTGATTGCCTGAGTATTATTGCAGAGTAAGACAAGATCATTCACATACTCAACGTCGAAGTATTTCTCCAGGTAGAAAGAAAATCCGCACGACCACTACCCACATCGATTAGGACTGTTCCTAGAATGTCATCAGTAACAAAGATGGAGAATGGTGACATTGGGCAACCCTACCTAACCCCGCCGCTCGAATGGAACAGAGGGAGTAGGTGTTTGTATCCTCTCACTCAACCTGATGTTTGAGTACACGGCCTTTCAATGTGTTATCAAACCTCTCACACATGCCTTTCTTTAACAGACTATCCTATAAAACAGTCCTGTCCAACGAATAGAAGGAAACCCTGTCATCAAGAAACAACGATTGCTAGCCTGAAATAAGTATGGCAGAGAATTAAGCTATGTTCAATGAATACACAACCGGAACGAAAATAGGACTTCTTCTCGCCAGTTAATCTTTATCTTTCACGGCTTCTAAACAGTCTGAGAAGTGCGATGGAAGTTAATGATTTGGAAGCAAAAGGAAGAAAATTTATACTCGATATCCGTTGTATGGAATGCGTAAGCTCTCTTTAAGATAGGAAAAACGACTGCTTGGTTTCACGGTGTCGGGATACTGTTTCTAAAACCTTTCCGAACAATCTAGTCAGTTCCTTAACCAGAAGTTCACCACCATCCTTAAGAAAGGGCTGTGGGTATGTCGTTTAGACCTTGTGATCTATGACGCTTTGAGAGTTGGAAGACAGAACAGTCTGATAGATGTCGCCCGGGCAAATACCATGCTGAAGCATAAAGACGGGCAGCGTCTAACTCAGTGACCAACAACGATGGAGATAAACAAGGCATCTCGTCATCAGCCATCGTTGGAAAAGTTCGGTAGAAAACTTGTGTTCCTTTTGCAGTACACGTTTAGATTTTGATCACGTTTTATTATTTATCCCAGCGGGCTCGGAGAACGAGGAAAACTATAGTGGACTGACAAAAAAGCCTACGTAATGAGCGTAATAAGTGGGTGGCAACGAAGCTAAAAGGGATGAGAAGGGCAGCAGCGATAAATAGTACCAGGTGGCTGTTCAGATTTATCAAGTAAAGCCAGAATTCAATGAAAGTATTTTCGAAGATGGAATGGTAATCTACTCTCGGTTCATGGGGATGAGACGATGACCAGAACACTTTAATGATCTTCAGCTACTCCCTAGTTATTCATTGTTTCTAAACAACGTGGATGGGAATTTGACCCGAATCTAAGCGAAGTTGGAAAGGTTATATCTAAATCTCAGCAATGAGAAACAGCCATGTATAATAGATTAACTCTTCAGATATTTATGGATGGTAGTTCAGTCTAAGCATTTTAATTGACTGATGTACCAGCTGGTTTGAGGGCTGGACATAATCCCATCTAGATGATCTCAATCACTGACCACCCTATAAAGAACAAAAATTTTCCCATGATAACCACAGAGGAGCCTCTGACTGACTTAGTATCTAGAAGATTGCGCCCAATACTCACCTGCGATTTTGTTAGTACCGATGAAGAGTGACCCTAGGAAAATCAGAATGACACATGTAAGCGAACAATTGTTTTCAATTAGATCGTCATCAAGCTTTTCTCTAGTATACATGAATATTTATACGAAAATGTTAGACCAATCAAGGCTATTTGAGTCAATAATCAAGGAAGAAGTCGGAGATTTCAACTGTTCGAAAGAAACCTTTATACATGAAATTAAAATTCAACGGGGATGTAGCTAGTGATACTCTGAAAGATAGGTTAAGGAAAGTTATTAGTAGGACATTCTACGCAGCCTATCTTGCATTGACTTTCTCGAGTCGACCAGTGATGTGTACTCAAACGAAGGATAAGTTACATAAGTTGGCCTCCTCTATGTGCATTTATAAGTTCAGCTGCTCCTGTGGAGATAGCTATATCGGGCGTACTACTAGGCAACTTAACCAACGAATAAGTGAACATCTACCAGCATGGTTTGGGAAGGGCCAAATAAAAACAATAAACAGTTCTATCTTGGCACATCTAATTGATAGTGGTCATATTGTAGTTAAATTGAAATCATTTCAAGTGATCTATCGTATACCTCCATCATTTCCCAACGGAGTTCGTTCCCGTCTCTTCCATATAGCAGAAGTCATAGGAATTTGTACATTCCACCCCAATTTGTGTACGGAAGAAATTCGTAACCCCCCTATCCCTTCCATGGCCGGATATAATTTAACAAATGACATTATTACTATTTTTTTTAATTCCATTTTTGATTTTGTTATCATTAGCGTTATTTTCACATCCGTCATTTATTTGTAATTTTCCGCCTCTTTCCGTTTGTATTCTTCACTATCTAATTATTTACACATTTCTTATTACGTAATCATTTTAATGCTTTGTGATGACTATTCTAAGTCTATTTACCCACGTTGGACCTCTTATTTCTTATGTTTAACTATTGATAAGACTTTTGTTATCGTAATTTAATATTCTTACTACTATCAATACACCTGTCTTCCCACTATCAACTTGTACTTTTACCTATTATGCTTGGTGACGTATTCTATTTCATTGTGATCAATGACTCAAATAGCCTTGATTGGTCTAACATTTTCGTATAAATATTCATGTATATTAGAGTAAATCCTGATAACGATCTAATTGAAAACAATTGTTCGCTTACATGTGTTTTAATTTTCACAATGGGAATCCTTATTATTCTAAAATCAGAATTGTTTCAGAACTGTATGTGGATGTACCAATCAAATGTTTAACCTTCGTCGGGTTTCGTAACACGGATATGCTTACCGACCGTCTAACATAGTGGCATTTCTTAACTTGAAGGTAGTGTTCGAGTTGGTCAAAAAATAGTTCAATATTAACTGATGTTATTGAGGGCTACCCAATCCCTCTATCTTTATTTGAATGATTCGTTTAGTTCTTCAAAGGTAGATTACCTACCACATTTACCTATTGAGTTAGAATACGCAAATGACAGTTTTATTTACTGAATTAAAAAAAAACTCAGAGCCTTGAGTAACTATCCAAGCACGTTTTAGATGCGCTCCTTACTCTCTAAATGTGAAATATCGTCACAGGACTGAAGACTTAACACCAAGACTAATTATATCAATTTAGTAGTTCAGCACGTTGACTACCGTGACCATCTAGAAAGTCCTTACACCTCTGATGGATGGTTTTTAATGAAATGTCAACAACTAAAAAGGATAGTATTTCCATCTCGAGCGATTTGCCGGGAGTTGAGAAATAAGCGTAAATGCAGAACGAGATTAACAATGAGAAAATACGAATAATAAAATAAATCAGCATATAATCAGGGGATCGCAAATGTCATTTATACAAATACTGAGGCTGAGCGAAATTTTTATGTTTGTTTATAAACTACACAATTGTTTGGGCTACGATACTGCCGGGGGGTAATTATTGAGGCAAGTATTTTAGACGCTATATTAGTAGAACTAATCCCTCTATGATTATCGCAGGACAATTTTGATCCTTTCTTATATGTTGGGACGATCGATGATTGCGATCGATCAGATGGGATTAAGTGCCTTTACCAGATTTTAGCTAAAATATTAATCAACCTAATCGCTAAACCTGGAACAACATCCTTAAAAACCTCTGGAGTTGATCGATTTTGACCAGCTGCCATTCCTCGTTTTAGGTTAGCTATAGCTTTTCTAACTCCAATTACAGTCGGGAGGGGCCTATTTCAATGTTCCATTCGGGCTGTTTGGAAATGGTGGATAGCTGAAGGCCAGTTGGACTGCTCCTTAAAGTGTTCTGCCCGTCGTCCTCAACGTCTGGACTGAGAGCACATAAGAATAACTTCTTTTTCCGAAATTTTCTCGCACTTGACTTCTTAATTGCGGTTTCTCTTATTAGTCTGAGAAGTTGTCTCGTGTTACCTACAGCCGCTGTCTTTTTCGTCTCTTTTGCTTTCAATGCTCACCACTACTCACGGTCATTCCTTATACTTTTGGTTAACCTAGATCTGATTTGTTTTCGCTCTCCGTCGTGTTCGGAGCCTGATAGAATGAGTTTACGAGTCTATCCGTGCAATAGATGTTGCAGAAATCCACTGGTTCTTCTCCATATCATTGTGCTATGTCCCAACTTGAGTTTATGTGTTATTGTCAGGCATTCCACACTGGTATGTTGAATTAGTCATCTGGTGTATAAGTACTGAACAGAGACATTACAGTGAGCGGTAACATATGTGAAATTCCTTGTATGAAATTTTCAAAATCTTACTGGTTTGTTGGCTAGCTTTGCTGTATTCTTGCGAAGGACAATACTGGAACATCGTGGACAAAGAATATTGAATTGATTGTATCCATCCTGAGCTCTTTGAACATTAGCGTCAGTTGAGTCACAAAATCTGACAAATCTCAGTGTAAGTAAAATATCTAACTTACTCTACAGACGACATTCAGCGAACTTTATTCAGGTAGACAAAACTTCTAAGTATACTGTAATAAAATTTCATAAAAGATGGGAAGGTTATTGGTTTGTTGAGTAATTGCAGATTCATACATTGTCGTGACTTAGATTTATCAAGCAAAGTAGAAAGATTTGACTCAACGTCGTCAAGACATGAGATTTAACATTTTCAAATTGGGTATTTAATGAAGTCACTTAACCATTACGTTGTGTTTTTCAAACAACAGACTATAGTACAGTGGTTGATGCTTGCACGAAAGGTAAAGTTCACATCTTGTACACAGTCACTTGGTTGAATTCATTTTAATTCACCAGTTTTCCTCTTATGCTGCTCAATATGGTCTATCTTTACACGGAGTGTGCAAACACGAAGTGATGACCGCCACCACATACTGAAAAGGAAAATAATGCTGATTCTTCACATTGACGTGACGTCAAACGGGTGACTGTATTTGGACCGTGTATGGGTGTTTCGCAGACACAGCACATATCGATGGCGAAAGATTCTGAAGTCCCAGATAAAAATACCGTGCAGTCAGCTACAAAGTAGGATCAGGAACATATATGCATCGGTCCAAGTTGTCATATCTCATTAGCACAACAAGATGAACACCTAAGTCATAGAAGCAGTTACTTCAATGGTAGTAAGAATGGTTTGGTCAAACCTGGTAAGATGTCCTATATATGTGGGGAAGTCGGTAAACTCAAACTACCTTAATTTATATCATTAGTTTAGGCACAGATGCAAAGCAGTCTTGAAGCAACAATATGGAGTTGGGGCGAGAAAAGTTCATCCTAAACAGGCTAGATTGCTGCCCAAGGCGATCAAAAAACATTGGATTCCGTCAGTCTTCAGCAAACAGAACTACGTTGTCCTCGTATTTTCAGTAAACAGGTGAATATCCTGATAGTTCAAGTTAGGAAGGATCTTATTTGTAGAATGATATCTATGACAAAACTAACAAGCTTGGAGGCAATATGAAGCCCTAAAAACACCTATACCATTGTGATTGATTCTGAGCGATGTCACCCAGGGTCGCGCGGACATCAACCAAGTAGGTTGCATCCACTAACATGGCTCAGACCAGAAGTTAGGGACTTTAAGGACTGATGCCACGTTTATGTTCGGCCGACTCCAAACTTCCTCCATCCGTCTCAAACACCAGTCAAAAGCGCGTGCCCCTACCGTTGATGCTACCTTGACATGGTGGTCGAGCTTGCACATTGTGATGAACCAATTGGGCTATACTGATTGAAACAACCACTCCTCAAGGTCCTACTATTTCAGACAGGTCGGCTAAAGAGTGGTAAGACTAAAAACAGCAAACCTAAGGCCTGAGGGCGAAGTCGTACTCAGACTGCACAGAAGTGTGACAGCAGTAAGGTGTTTCCGTCAGACAACCAGTATAACAGCGATGCTGCCTTGCTATTGCTGAACATGGTTCTCCACTACCTGTTTTTACCTGGGTAACTGGCATTAATTGGTTTTGGAACTATCTAGGCATTTGTTCTATAAACCCTAATAAGATTACTCAGCTACTCCTTTATATTTTTGTGACCATACAAACATGTAAATCGGCATATGAAGTAGGACATGACGTAGCCGTCCGTTTTAAGTCTAAGTCTATATGAAGTCACGAGCTTAACTTTATCAACTACAAACATTTTAGAAGTGTAACGTTTCATCAATGACAGGTTTTAGCCATTGTCTTAAATTATGCTGCTTGTCCTTCATTTCCTTCTCCACAGAATTAGAGCACACAGAAGGCAAACAGTACCAAATCATTCTAACACTCAGTTACACCTCACTTCCAGGACGTGTACTCATAAAATCAGTAAGCTTTTTAGAGTTAAGTAACAAGAATTGGTATACAGTCGCACATAACACGAACACTTGTGTTAGCAATAATCCCAGGCAATCCCCCCATTTCAAGTTTAAGGCACGCAAACGCCAACAGCAGGGTTAGAATGCCCTATACCACGTACGAAATTTCTTATGTTGGCCTACGACACTAGACAACGCATGAGCTAAGCCACTCCTACAACTCTTGGACACTCAATGACTTGAAGTATCACCTCGTCATCTTTAGCTCTTTTCTCATCAGTAGCGCTTCTATGCATTCTTTAACTGTTAAGAGATATCCCCACTCTTTGAATGTTATTCTCTATATACTCCGATCAAAAAGTGAGTGGCAATTCCCTCTTTAATAACAACTGCTCCCAGCCCCAAAAATTGACCGACCATTATGACTATTCCCCAAGTTCGCTAATTGCTCATTCAACGAACCCAACTTTACCCATTACTCCCAACCTTGTCTCCAATATCATGTCACTTTCTCATGTTGACCATACATTAAACGATCAACACGAATATAAAGTTGACTGCTTAAATAGGTATCGAAAAAACTAAGTCAAGTGTAAGTGAGACAATCTCGGAAAAAGACGGAACCCTTATCTGCTCTCAACCCAAACATTTAGGACGATGGGCGGAACACTTTAAGGAGCAGTTCAGCTGGCCTTCAGCTACTGCACAACTACCCACTATTCTCAGAAAACCTGAATGGACCATTGAAGTAGGCCCCCCGACACTACTTGAAGTTCAAAAGGCTATAACTAATCTGAAACGAGGAAGAGCAGCTGGTCCAGATGGATTGGCTCCAGAGGTCTTTAAATATGGTGGTCCAGTTTTTAGCGATTAGGCTGACTAATATTCTGGCTAAAATCTGGAGACGGACGTAATCCCATCTGACTGATCACAATCTCTGATTGTCCCAATATATAAGAAGGGGCCAAAATCATCCTGTGATAACCATAGAGGGATTAGTCTGACTAACATAGCATCTAAAATACTTGCCTCAATAATTATCGGGCGCCTAACTAAGACTCGTGAACTGCAAACACGGGAAAATTAGACTGGCTTCAGACATGGTCGTGGCTGTATCGACCACATATTCACCATTTGTCAAGTTTTAGAGCACAGACATGCTTATCGGCGCCCGACAATGATAGTTTTTCTTGACTTGAAAGCAGCATTTGACTCTGTAGACCGAGAGGTTTTGTGGCAGTGTCTGTCATTGAAAGGTGTACCTGAGAAGTACATAAACCTTGTGAAGGCTCTTTACTCGAACACTACAAGTCGAGTGAGAGCTTATGGCGAACTGTCATATGATCTTACAACCTCAAGTGGTGTCCGTCAAGGCTGTCCACTATCACCATTTTTGTTTACCTTTATTATACACCTGATGCTGGAAATAACACTCTCGTCGACTGAATTTTCAGGAATTGATCTTCTACCAGGAGGTTCACTTATCGACCTAGAATACGCAGATGACATAGTCCTATTTGGTGAAGACGCTGACAAAATGAAGAGTCTTCTGTTAGAACTGAGTAACAATGCCAGGATGTTTGGGATGCGTTTCTCACCATCCAAATGTAAATTGTTACTCCAGGACTGGCCTGCGTCAACACCCGAACTAAGGATAGGGAGTGAAGTAGTCGAACGCGTCGACAACTTCACTTATCTTGGAAGTCTGATCAGCCCTAATGGGTTGGTGTCTGACAAAATCTCAGCACGGATTCAAAAAGCTCGTTTGGCTTTTGCCAACTTACGTCAACTATGGCGAAGACGAGATATCCGTCTATCAATTAAGGGACGAGTATACTGAACAGCAGTTCGCTCTGTTCCACTTTACGACTGTGAATCATGGCCATTAAGAGTAGAAAATACTCATAAGCTACTAGTATTTGGCCACAAATGCCCCAGAAATATTGCTCGCATCTGCTGGGATCACCGGGTAAGTAATAGTGAGGTTAGACGCAGGCTATTAGAGAGTGATGGTAAATCAGTTGATGAGGTTGTGAATCTTCATCGAATGAGATGGATGGGCTACGTGTTACGTATGCCTGAACACCGACCACCACGACGTGCTATGCTGACTAGTATTGGGGATGGTTGGAAGAGAGTTAGGGGCGGCCAAACCAAAACATGGCATCAGTGTTCGAAGTCACTAACTTCTAGTCTGAGTCATGTTGGTAGATGCAGACTACCTGGTTGGGGTCCGCGTGTTTATCGTAACAAATGGTTGGAGACTCTGTATGACATGGCTCAGAATCGATCACAATGGCGTAGGTGTATACACTCTTTATCTTCCCTTAAACCTTGAGATTAAAATTGCATCATAACTTTTTTCCTTCCTATACTATATCCTTATATACAATCTTTCTTTATGTACTACCATCACTAAATTAACTACTATGAATCCGGTGTTCATCTTGTTGTGCTAACCAGGTATGGTAACTTGGACCGATGCATATATGTGCCTAGTCCTACGTTGTAACTGACTGACTGACTGACTATCGAAAAAACTCCTTACTTATTGAACTAGTCGCTGGTTTAGCCAGTTTCATTATAGTCACAGTTTACCGTTGTTCAATTTAATTACCGCTTTATCTCCAGTAACACTCCCCGCCCAATATACCCAACTTATCTGGTAGGTACTCGTTCAGTACCAATGTTTCGGTCAGTAGTTTCACATCTTCCAACTCATCTACATAGCGTACTCGTTGAGTTCAGTCTAAAGGTGCTTTACTATGCTTAGCATCCACTGTGGCGGGCAGAATGTGTGAAGATTTAGATATTGACTAGTCTATATTGGCTTCCAATTAACCGACGCTTTACAATCCTATCTCCGCTTTAGCCCAAAACCATGTATTAAAATGGTAAATGGATATTATTTACTGCTTTACAGGTACGGTAATATGTACGCTGTTGAGGTCCACTACGCCAACCACATTCACTGTAACTTATGGCTAATGACGAAAAATAGGGACGACCAATATAATTGAAATCAGGGTTGTTAACAGGTAACATGAACCAACCGCTTGATAAATACGCACTAAAAATATACAAAAAATGATCTATATAAGAACAGCTTTTTGAGCACCACTTGTCCTTTTCCTCGCCTCTTACTAACATTTTACCCTACTCTG